TTAATCTCTGCCACTTTCAACTGTTCTTGGATAACAGCTTGAGTAGTGATTAACATCTAGCACAGTGAAGCTGGTTCATTTCTTGTTTATACTCCTTTTAGCCGCTTCTTCATCTTAGCTGTGTGATCTGTTTCACACAGTGATGGTGATGCGGTATTTTAGGCTCTCTATATGGCACCTAGCTGCAAGCTTGCCAAGTCAGTTCCAGAAATGTAGGGTGTTGTGGTTTAAACCCAGTCAGGTAACTCGTTCACTCACCTCCGCCCCTTTCGTGCCCTCCGCCTGCTCCCGGAGGGACGGAAAGGAGAGTCAAAAAGAATCAACTCCCACGGGTTGAGATAAGAACAGTTTAGTAACTAAGGTATAACACAGATCACTACTGCTACCACCAATGATAATAATGATAAAGGAAATAACAAGGGAAGAGAATACAACACCTCAGCACCAGCTGACCAATAACTCACCCCCCAAGCCCGACCAAGCACCGACCGATACCTCCTCCAACCCTGCAGTCTCCCAGCCCTTCCGGCTAACTCCCAGTTACATCCTGGGCATGACGTGCTGTGGTACGGAATACCTCTTTGGTCAGTTTGGGTCAGGTGTCCTGTCTCTGCATCCTCCTGGCTTCCCCTCCTCCCTGGCAGAGCATGAGGCTCACAAAGTCCTTGGCCAAACCAAAACATTACTATCAGTTCTGTTCCCAGGCCGAAAATCAAAACACTGCACTGCACCAGCTACCAAGAAGGGGAAAAATGACTGCTACTGCTGAACCCAGGACATAGGGAAATAATAGGTAAATAATTATAAAGGATCATTTATAGGTTAGAGAGTACTTTGCTCTAATAAACAACTAATGGGAAGCTGGGAATTACCTTTGTTGTGTTTGCGCATAAGATAACCAGTCACACTGTTTTATCTGCTAAGAAGCTCTAATAAAGATTTTGGGTATTATTACAAAGAATACATAAAATGTCTGATATTCAACTACAAGAGCAATAAAAAACAAGCTATATATATAATCACTATACAAAGAGCAGGTCTTTCATTGGCTTTTAGTGTTGAGAAGGGAAAGGTGCTGGAGAGCTTTGTCTTTGGCAGGGGAGGTGGTTGGATGTTTGGTGGTGGTGTGGGGTGGTTTTTGTTTTTTTTTTTCATTTGGTTGCTTTGGGTTTTGTTAGTCTTTGTTGTTTTGTTTTCCTGCAGCTTCATGGGATGCTAGATTTTCTGTCATTCTTGTGGTCTTTCTCTGGACCCTCTACAACAGGTCCATGTCTTTCCTGTGCTCAGGACACTAGAACTGCACAAAGTACTGCAGGTGGGTGTCACAAGAGCAGAGTGAAGGGGTAAGATCACCTCCATTGACCTGCTGGTCACAATCCTTTTGATGCAGCCCAGCATATGGTTGGTTTTCTGGGCTGTGAGTGCACACTGCTGAGTCATGTCTAGCTTTTCATCTACCAGTACCCCCAAGTCCTTCTCCACAGGGCTGCTCTCAATTCCTTCATCCCTAGCCTGTATTTGACCTGTATTTGTTCCCATCCCAGGTGCAGGCCCTTGCACTTGGCGTTGTTGAACCTCATGGAGTTCACATGAGCCCACTTCTAAAGCTTGACTAGGTCCCTCTGAATGGGCTACGATCACTCAGGCATGATGTAAAGGCTTCATACTGTGGTACAAAAAGGAAAAAGAAAAAAAAGAATAGAGGGGAACTGCAAGTAATTTACAGCTTTGGGAACTAACAATGGGGGCCATATTGCAAACACTTGAGAATTAGGAGCAGTTGCAGCAGGATGAGAGAGAAGTCTTCCAGGAGGAAACACATCGCAATGCACAGAACGAGCAGTGTTTTAACAGCTGTTACTAGCTGTTACTAGCTGTTTAGAAGAACACACAGAAAAATACTTGTTTCGTTGTCTCCATAGCTGGGCTCTGCTTCTGCGTTGCTACATTCTTGTCATTCTTCTGCCTTCTGGAAAATGAACTGTATTGTTTCTTAGAGTGGTTTAGCATTTTGTAGAACTATATGAGAATGGTATAGGAGTTTCACTTTGACATAAATACAGAAAAAAATTTATTTTTTTTTTTAAAGAAGGAAGTTTGTTACTTTCTGTGAAGGATATGAAAATGATATGGTTCCTTTGTTTTGAGAGCTGAATAAATGTTTTGTGTCATGAGTTTGACACCTTAATTGAAATATTATGCTGTGTATTCCTTTTCTGGGCAAGTGAAGACATTACAAAATTTAAACGTATGTGAAGAAACAAGTTGTATAGCTAGTTTTAGTCTTTGTTCCTGTTCTTTGACATCTACCTATGAAAACCATTATTGTCCTTAAGGGCAATCTTGCGTGTGTGAATGTGGAGAAAAGAAGACTTAGTCTGATTACCTGAGTCGCAGTGACAGATTTGACTTTTTGTGTATAAAATATTGGGGAAGTATGGTGATAAAATTAGGTACAAAACAGCAGAGATGAATCCTGTTTTTCTGTATTGTGGAAATAGGCTTAACAACCTTTCATTTTCTGTCAGTGCAGTTGTATCTCCTACATATACTTTGATTTAGTCCAGGAGGTGTTTCACGTATCAAGATGCAAAATTAATTTTAAAACCTGCAAACTAGCACTCTGTATAAAAACCTCATTGATGATGGTATTGCTTATTTGAGAAGAGCATTTCACTTTGCCCACTTTTGAAAAATCATAGTGGTATTAGTTCTTACTTGACTTTTTGATCTGACTGTTGTGCAGCAAAGTGATTTAAATTTTCATTATTTAAAGGTGCAATATGCAAAATTAGAAACAAATTTTCATTGTCAGTGCTTGAGAATTTTATCCTTATAGCATCTTGAACTTCCTCAATGATGACCATCCATGATGTCATTGCAGCTTTCTTGTTACAAAGTAGTATTTCTTGTTTAATGTATTACTGAGTTTGTGGATTCAGACTCGGAATTGTCTCTGTATTCCATCAACAGTATTGCCACAGTTCAGTCTCTAGGTAAACTTCAGTGTCTGCCAAAATAGCAATTTGATGTTATATCCTGTTATGTGGTGCTTTTCATGTGTGGCCTTGTTTTTTAATTCCCCCATCCAGCCACCGAACCTGATTTTCACCTAGTGTCTCTGCAGTGTGTGATGCCTTCTTGATTCTCTGGAGAAGAAGCAAGGAGCTGTGTTTTCTGGGTAGCTCAGACCAAGCTATAGGAAAATATACTGAATCAGAAGTGGAGAAGTTGCTCTGTTTTGTATGCCACATAGTAATTTGTTCTCGTACTCTTGGAGCATGGACATCGTTCATGACAGTTGAAATTGTTGACAGCATGTTTACTGTTGAACTTCATCAGCAAACATCATCTGAGAGCTTGTTTTTGGGGGGCTCTTCATAGACGTCATTGCTGTTTTTTCCCCAACAGAATGCTAGGTTTTTTCTTCCAGAGTAAAGGGAAGAAAGGAACATAGACCTAGGTGCTTGTTCTCCAAATTAATGTTAAATGGCATTGTTAGCTTTCTTACGTGACATTCGGTGATAGACTTTCATATTTCTCTAAAATCAGCAGATATTATGAGAATCTGGATATTGTGCTCTTGATTTTTTTGAGAGCCTTCTCCTCCAAAAAGGGCTTACAAAATTTCCCACTGTCACATGAATTGTCTTTTATTGCACAATACATATCTACAGGGCATTTATTGCAAAATGGCTCGGACCAACTTTAGTGTTTCAAATGCCACTGAAGCATGGTTTTACACTATGTTCGGAAAGAAATGGTTGATATCTAACATTTATGTAGCCTGAAGCTGCAAGTTCTCTTTTAGGCTTTCTTTTCTCTGCTGCATAAGAGTAGTGCTTCCTGCAAATAAGCCCTGGCTTTCCCAATGTGTCTGCAAATACCCTTCAAATGACATGTCATCAAAACTATTTTCACAAAATTGATCTTTTAAAATCCTTTAAAAATAATGTTCATTAAAAGTAAATAATGAAATACCTTAGACCAGTTGAAAAGATTGTGCTGAAGCAGGAAGGCTTTTTTCCCCACATCAAGGAAGGACAGAAAAAAATAACTTTGCCTTGTATATTTGTACATTTGTTGATGTGGTAGGGGGAGGGTTTCTGGTAGATACACACATGGAAATCGAGTTGATGAACAGAAATCTGACAAGAGTTGTGTGTATTAGTGGTTTGTTTTTTTTTTTTTTCTTAAAGATTATTCTTGCTCCTGTGTTAACTAGTAATATTACAGAGTCCTCAGAAAGTTAACCTTAGTGTGTTCAATGTGCAGTCTACGGGGAGGAATTTGTTATAAACTAACTCTAGTTACAAGTAATTCTGCCATCAAATGGCTTGGTCCTGTGGTCCTTACCATTCTCCTTCAGAATAACAGCATTTTTGATTCCTAGCTTCCATCTGAAAACCAGAGGCTTGCCATTATGTAGACCTTACTGTTTTTTACTGTGTTAATAGAACACCTTGAAATATTCATAGCACTAGAAGTGCTTAGACCTGTTAGGGTTTAGCAGCATTCTGCTCTTCTTTTACAGCTGGTAGTAGGGAATAGTTAAGTTTGGAGAGTGTGTGTCTCTCTGCGTTTGATCTTCTAGTTGTGGGGAGCCTATTAGAGTTTCAAGTTACTTCTAAAAGCTGAGCTTCTTATGTATGTTCATTGAGAAAGTGTACTTGAATATATGCTCTTAGAAGTGTTTGAATGAGAGAACAGAAGTGATTTTCCAAATTAGAAAATGCTTTGGAGAATATGCCTTTTGGAGAATGTACTGCTGTTATTTGTAGCAAAATTCACAAGTTTGTGAAAACAAATATGCTAAGCCCTCTCAATAGTGCATTTTTTTGATTGCTATTAAATATAAAACTTCTTAATTCCTAACATGTACACTAAATGTGGAGGCACTTGATAGCATTTTTAAAATTATTTTTATTATGTTTTTTTTAACTACTGAAAATCTTTTGTCACTGAAGTAGAAGATGATAACCTTTTCCTTTCTCCTACAGATCCAGACATTTAATGTAGAGGCACCATGCCAGACCGTGGAAGATTTAACGAATGGGGTTGTGATGGCCCAGGTTCTTCAAAAAATGTAAGATATTGTTTGTTTAATGAATTAAATACACAGGGGGCTTTATCTATAATTTTTTCTGTATTTAAGTGCATTTTGGTTTAAACTTAGTATTCCGTAAAGATGTGGCTTTTTCTATGCTTAGACACTACTTTAATCTGGAACATGACTGGTATGATTTTTTTCTCTATAGTTTTCAGATAACTATATTAAATGCAAAAAAAAAAAAGGTTTTATGGAGGTATTTATTCAAGTGTGAGCTTATTGGAAAGTAAGGTTGAATAAAACTAAGCTTACAAATTTGAACTTTTTTGAAAAGTTGGAACCAGTGCAAGGTAAGGTATTGGCTCTGATCACTGTTTGAAACTGCAGTCAGTGTATCAGTAATGTTAGAATTAGTTTCATGCAGTAAGACTTCTTTGGTAAACAGAATGGAACTGTCAAATTCAGTTGCTTGCAAAGACATTACATTCTTGAAAATAAATGAAGGAATAATAGCTGTCAGACTAGGTAATGTTTTTGTTCTTTTGAACTTTAAGATCAAATAGGAAAAAATGCATTAGTTCAACATCTCAGTATAATCTAGGATGTTTCTGGGGACTACAGATATGCGCCTCAAATTAACTGTGTGCAGAATTACCTATTACCACATAAACACAGCTTCTTGTCATTCATTAGAAACTTAAGTAGCATTTACCAAAGTCAGCAGTCCAAACTGGGGATGCCAATTTCTGCAGACCTATTAAAAAAGCCTAAACAACATGAAGTTTTCCTGTGTAATTTGTTGAAAGTGAAGACTGGACATGTACAGAATAGATACGAACAGCTTTCTGTTAGAGTTATTCTGGTTTGCATCAAAGAATTGTGGAATAGTTAAGGTTGAAAAGCACCTTTGGAGTGTTTGATTCAACTCACCTGCTCAAAGCAGAGTCTGCCAGATCAAGTGGCCCCAGGATTGTGTCCAGTCAGATCCTGAGTATGTGGAAGGATGGAGACTTCACAGCCTTTTGTGGCTACCTGTTCCAATACTAATTGCCATCACAGTTTTAAAACAAAACCAAAAACCACCACCACAACCCACCATGTCCCCCACCCCCTAAGAAAAAAAAAGCTGGAGGCATGTTTTTCTTTAGATTCAGTTAGGCCTTCTGCTTCTTGGGGCCTTCTGCCTCTTTTTTGTTCACTGGACACCACTGAGAGGGTTATGTAAGGGTATAAAGAAGAAGGGGGACTTTCATGTATTTATATACAGGATTGGCAAGATCTACTGAGCCTTCTCCAGGCTGAACAGACACAGCTTGCTCAGCTTCACCTTGTATGACAGATGCTCTAGCCTGTTAGTCATCTTAATTGTCCCTCCCTGAGCTTCCTTGTATGTCTAGGTCTCCCCCATACTGGGGAGCAGCATTTCAGATTTCGTCTCACCAGAGCTGAGTTAGAATCATAGAATAGTTGAGTTCTGTCTCACCTCACTTGGCCTGCTGGCAATGCTCTTTCCAATGCAGTCCAGGATGTGGTTAGCCTTCTTTGCCACAAGGCACTTCACTGGAATGTGTTCAGCATGGTTTATACCAAGCTTTTCTCTGCAAAGCTGCTTTCCCGCCAGTTGGCCCGCAGTATATGCTGGTTCAGGGAACTTGCGCTTACTTTTACTGAAATGTGTAATGTTCATGGGCTGTCAGCCCACTTCTCCAGCCTGTCAGGGTTTTTCCAAATAGCAGTACAAGTATCAGGTATATCAAAGACTCCTTCCAGTTTTGTATTATCTGAAAACTTGCACTCTGTTCCATCATCTAGGTCACAATCAAAGATGTTTAATAGTATTAAGCCTTTGGGTATGCTGCTGGTGTACTGGACTTTATGTTGTTTCTTGTAACCCTTTGAGCCTGGCAGTTCAGCCATTCGCTCACAGTTCACCCGTTCACTTCATTCACTTTGAGCCTGGCAGTTCAGCCCACCTCACTGTCCACTTAAGCAGGCTATGCTTCATCAGTTTGTCCATGATGATGTTATCCTGACCAGGTGGTCTGTATCTGGCACCTAGAACTATGTAATTTATGTTGGTTTGCCATCCTGACCATAATATCTCAGCTGGTTCATCATCTGTCCCAAGGCAGAGCACATGTATTCCTGCTGTTGTCTCACTTGAAAGCGTCTCCTGGTCACTACCTTCCCAGCTTGTTCTTTCTAAAGAGCCTGTGTTCATTCATGGCAGCAGCCTTGTCATGTACACCATCCTACCACATCTTCCTGTGGCTTTGTAACTATACACAGAACTTTGCTTCCTCCTGTTTGTTCTCTATGCTGCATGCATTAAGTGCACAGGCACTTTATATGTGCATCCAGTCTTTCTGATTCCCCAGAATGAGAGCTTTCCCTGTAGAGTTTTTCTGTAGGCCTTTCCTCTTTTATGTGCATATGTTTGGGATGACCCCATTTCAGCCCTTTTTTGTTGACTATAAGGTATCTCTTGTTCACATCGTTCCACACTTGACAGCAAAGTCCACTACTTTGTCATGTGATGTTTGGTTGTATTTTCCCTCCTCTGTTGTTCCTTGTTTAAAACTTCTTCACAGGTGCACCAGCCTGTTGGGAAATATGCTTCTGCCCATCCTAGTCAAGTGAATCTCATGTCTTCCAAGCATTCCTCAGTTCTCAGAGAGGGTTCTCTGGTCATGGATACCAAAACCTGGCTGCAAACACCAGTTCGTAGCTGGTTGTTGGCCTGCAGGATATGTCCTTTTCTCAAGCCCTTCCTGCCAACTTTTGTGACTGGGGCAAACACCACTTGGGCCTTGACCTCAGTTTCCAGAGCCATGTAATCAACACTTGGTAATTTCCAGGTCTCCCTAGGTGCATAGCTGGTGCCAACGTGGAAGAGCAGAAGTAGTAATAGCCTGAGGACTGGACAAGCTTTGCCAGTTTTTCAACAATGCCATGAATTCAAACCCCTAGCAAGCAGCAGTCCGTCTTAGGTGATGAGTCAGGCAAAAGATGAGGGTGCTCCATTCCTTGTTAATGCATACCACTTGCCTCTTTTGCTGCTCCCTGACTCTGGCTTACCAAACAAGGGTGATTCATTTGGAAGAGCTCCTAGCCCCTTAACTGCTATGAGGGCACTAAATTTATTTCTGTAGTTGCAGATCCTCAGGTGGATCAGGAGCCTTCCTCATAGTGAAAAAGCAAGCTGTCAGTTCACAGGAAGAAAAAAGGGGGATGTTATCTTGATGTAGTTAGGTATTTCAAGGGAACACTTTAGAGCATGTGGAAAGGTAAGATCTGGAGATATAGAATCATAAAGGCTTAAAGTAGACAACAGTCTTTCTTTCCTACCTGAAATTTCAAAGAAGATGTAAGTGCTGCAAAGTTCAGTTTTTCCACTTATTTTTTCCTTTTGAGAGAAGATGAGGCATTACTTACAAGAATTATGCAATTTCTATGTATTTTTTTCATCAAACAAACCCAATTTCAAGTCAGCTTCAGTGTCAGCAGTCTTCTTGCTCTGAATTACGCTGGAGACTAATAGAAGCAGTCTTTCTACTGTTTTAATGTATTTTGCTGATACACAAAAGAGGGCACAACACACCTCCCCTCCCGCTGCAGTAATGGATTTTCCAACCCAGCATTTAAATCAGCTCACTTATAAGTTTTCTGAAGTCTGAACATCAAGTATACAAGTCTGAAGGTGAATACAACATACATTGTATACTGTTCCTTTTTTAGGATTGGAAAGATGGTGTTCTTTCTTACTTGCTGGAGTATAAAAGATGGTGACTGTTTAAATTGTGTTTTCAGTTAGAGTAGGTTAGGATTTCAGCATAATCGTCTGTGAATCTGTTTTCAGTGTATGTAGAAAAAATAGTGACATGCCTTTAGAAACAATCTAATAGTAACATAGTTAATATGGATATTCATCCATCTTTAACTACTGTCTGTAGGTCTTCCGTAAGACACAGGTTCCACTTCACTTAATGGTGGACCAACAGTGATAGCTGTTGATATATTGTATAGCTGTATATGTTCTTGATTGACTAGTTCAAAGACTAATCAGAAGTTGGATCTAAAATATAATATACAAACCAAAATGAAACTTCAGTGTTGAAGGCCCCTCAATGACCTTACTGACTTCTACTACCATTACTTGAAGTAATGCCTTTCTCCCTGCCTTGGTATTAAGAAAGGGAAACAGTTAGAATCATAGAATAGTTGGGATTGGAAAGAACCTTAAGATCATCTAGTTCAAACCCCCCTGCCGTGGACAGGGACACCTCACACCAAACCATGTCACCCAAGGCTCTGCCCAACCTGGCCTTGAATACCGCCAGGAATGGAGCATTCACAATTTCCTTGGGCAATCAATTCCGATGCCTCAGCACCCTCACAGTAAAGAACTTCCTCCTTATATCCAGTCTAAATTTCCCCTGTTTTAACCCATTACCCCTTGACCTGTCACTACAGTCCCTAATGAAGAATCCCTCCCCAGCATCCTTGTAGGCCCCCTTCAGATACTGGAAGGCTGCTATGAGGTCTCCACACAGCCTTCTCTTCTCCAGGCTGAACAGCCCTACTTTCTCAGCCTGTCTTCATAAAAGTTCTGATACTGTTTCCAGTTGATGAACTGATACTTTAATAAGAGGTGTACACTGCAAATACTGCATTTCTGTAGCATGATTTTAAAATATTTCCCATAGAAGCTGCCATGCTGACACTGAATGTGGGAATTCTTTAGTTTACCCAGTTTATATGTAAAGATGTAAGTAATTTTAAAGTTCTTTCCTTAGGCCCAGGTAATTGAACCTGACAGAATTTGTATTTGGCTGTCTTACTCTCTAATAGTTGTGCTTCAGATTTACTATTTTACGTACTTGTGCAATTGAGTCTATTGATTCTCATGTAGAGATTTAGCAATAATATTGCCAAATCTTGACTACATTCTGTTGAAATAAACTTTGAAGTGCAGCAGCAAGCTGATCTTGGATTGCAAAATAGGAATGATAACATGAATAATTTTTGAGGGAAAG